ACCTGCCTGTGCTGGAGGAGGCAGTGGGGGGCGAGGGCGCAGCCCCTTCTCAGGACGGGAGGACCCCTGCTTGTGGGGACACTTCTGTGGGGGCCAGGCCAGGACCTGGGGAAAGTCCACCAGCCGCAGGAGGCTTCTTGGTGACCAAGCCCCCCAAGCAGAGGGAGCCAGTGGCCAGAGCAAGAGACGGTGAAGGGCCCGGGGCGGGCAGGGCCCCGGCACATCCCGCCCTCAGCAGCCGGGAACCCCGGTGTCCGGGCAGCACGAACCTTGTGCTTCCTCCAAATGGGAGGCTGGAGCTGGGGTGTCAGCTGCCCCCTGTCCCTGGTCCCCTCAAAGGTGGGGACCTAGAGGCTCCCAGGGTGGTTTTGCCAGACCCCAAGCTGGAAGGAGGCCCCAGGAGTGGAGGGGACACCCAGGGGCCCTGGCAGCAGGCCCTCGCGGTCCCGACACGGCCCAGCGGGAGCTCTGGGGAGCCCCAGCCTGCAGGGGACAAGCTGCCCTCGGAGAGGAAGAAGCTGCGGGTGGAGCAGCTGAGCTGCCCAGAGCAGCTGGGGTCTCTGGGAGTGAGAGACCAGGCCCCCGGGGGCCCAGCACAGGACAGCTCCCCACCCTCCTTGAACCAGGACAGTGACTCTGGGGACAGGCTGCACACGAGTGCCGACGGCAGGGGGGTCTCCGGTACATCTTTCTCTGCGCCCTCGGTGGCCCTGCAACCGGCGGGGCCCGGGCACGAGGCGCCTATGTGTGGTCCTGCAGCTGGAGCCCCCGGGGGGACAACCTCCCTGCCTGCCCAGCCTTCAGACACCACCTTTCCCCCCAAGTACCTGCTCAGGTTACCGCAGGGAGAGACCCCGCAGCCGCTGCCTGGTGCCCCAGGGCCGGAGCGCAGCCAGGACCCTCTCTGCAGGAGCGGGCTGCCCCAGGACCCAGCCTCCTCTGCTGGGCCAGGGCTGGGGACCCACCCAACCCCCCGCCTGGCCCCAGGTAGAGCCGACAACTTCGGGGAGGACTCCAGCTGGCCCAGGCTGTGGGGCAGGAGAAAGGGGGTACCAGGAGAAGAGAAAGGAGGTTTGGACACCAGCACCCCCGCGGCCGGGGAGTCTCTGGGCTGGAGTGTTGGGGCCCCCAGGGAGACAGCCTCTGCCCTGCCCTCCCCTCCTTGTGGCCCCGGGAGGAGTGAGACCCGAGATGCTGGACAGCTCTGTGTGGGCAGCATGTGGGCAAGGGCCAGGCCCTCTGGGGGTGTCCTGAGTCCCTGGACACTCAGCAGGGAAGTGGCGGGGCCTCCAGGGCCCCTGGCGGGGCACAGTCCCTGCTGCCCCCTCGAGCCCAGCTCAGTCCTCTCGGCCCCGCCCTCGGG